AAGAAACAATAAATCAATACAAAAAATAACAACGTTAGCCGAACACTGAGAGTGTTACAAACGGAACATCACTACAACAAAAAACTAACGATTGAGATGCTCCACATCAATAGTTTATCAACAACAAAAAGAATAAACAGCGTAGCAGACACGGGCAACACAGCCTACTGCTACAGGCATTTTACAAAAAGAGATCGTGCAATAAGCAAACAATTATCACTGCAATAATAACACTTGACGGTAGTAGCCACATTACGCTAGATTTAAGTTTATTATTCTAATTATTTGCAAGTAAGCGATTGTATTTTTACGTGTTTATGTCCTAACATGCTGTGATAATGTTAATATGTTGTGTTTTTGTTATTTAATTTGATGATGAAACTCAGAGTTCCGAAATAGTGGATAAATAAATAATTAACAAGTAAAAAAGCTGGTACAAATTTGGTAATTTCCAAAAAAAAAAAAAAATAATAAAATAAAATCCGTTAAAAATTCTGTTAAAATTTTAAAAATCCCGAATGCCTATACGACGACGAGGACCTGCATAGACAACTTTTGTCATAAGTTATTACAATATTTAAATGCGAAACTTGAAGAAAAATCTGTTTATAATGTAGCTAAAATCATCCAAATACCATATATAGGTGGTACCGTTATATGGGGGCTATACGAAGACGTGGAATATTTTCTGGCATTGGATGAAGTATCCATTAATACCGAATATCGGGAGGACCCGTTGTATGGGGGCTATATGATAACTTGGACCTACATGGTCCATTTACGAACTTAACCTGCCTACTGGAAAAATAAACATGTGTGCAAAATTAGCCATCTATCTCAATTAATTCGAAAGATAGCGTGATTACAACAGATAGACAGAGGGACATCTCTAAATCGATCAAGAATATATATACTTTGCTGGGTCTGACATGAGTATTTCGAGGAGTTACAAACGGAATGACAAAGTTAATATACCCTTCATAGTATGGTGGAGGGTGTAAAAACGAAAAATGTTGGCAACTCTTTTAAACAAGAAGATTAGTTACAACAACAATTTAGCTAATGTAACAGAAGGAACAGGACAAAGAGGAGAATGTGAAACTAAACAATTTGGGAATTGATAATTAGTTTAAATACAAAAACTTTAAATACAGTACACCAATTTTCACTATGAATTGCAAAATTAATATTAAGCACTTTTAATAAAAGATATAATTAATATTGTTTTTCAAAATCACGAAAAAACACAATATTTGACACTAATCACAAATAGTAATAGTAATCGACACAGCTGCTGGGACAATGGACTGTCAAAGCTATTTTGGAATCGAAATTTTTCAATGAAGAATTACTCAAATTTGTAAAAATTTTAAAAAATGCCTATCATACAACCTCCAATTGGCGCCATGTAGGGAAACGTATATAAATCTACATATCAATTTTTCAAAGCGTTGATGCATCTACGAGTATGCTTCTACCATGGTATCATTGTTAGTTAATGAACTGACGCTAGAAAAAGGCGCTTGGAATATTGGGGTATTATTATTATTATTTTTTTTATTATTATTATTATATGAGTTCTAAGATTCTCAGCGTTTGCTGGAATTTACGCACCGGATCTTTGACCAAAGGTTGCGCTCTGCTGGGATGTAAAGCATCCATTATATTTTCTTATCAGATTGTCTCCCTTATTATTGATGTTGCTTTCATCAGCAAACCTTTCTGCATTTCGGTTAGGATCTTGCTATGTAAGTATAACTTTTTATAGGTGTTGCAGTTTCCATTGGTATTGTTCCTAAAGAGCTTATTACTATTGGTAGAATTTCTATTTTCTGCAGTGTTAACGAGTTTTTCAGGTACTGTGATAATGGTTGGTATTTAGATATCTTTGTGTTGATGGTTTCTACTATGTTATTGTCTAGTGGAACTGCGAAATCTATTATTTTTGCTGTCTTGCCTATGATTATCATATCTATTCTATTTGGTATGATTATATCTGTAGTTGTATGTAGTGCGTTCATTGATCTTTAATTTGATTATATTTATGTAGATTATTTTTTCAATATTGTTGTGTCTTGTTGTGTAATGATTGTGCGTTAGTGTAGTGCAACTGTTGAGTAGATGTATTATTATTATTATTATTATTGCTGCAATGGCGCGAAAAACAGACTAACGAAAATTACATAATGCTGCCCCCAGACACACCAACAGTTGGCCTAACTTGTGACAAGTTGGTACAACTATTGGTGCGTCTGAGGGCTAGTTGTACAATTTTTTCGAAAGTTAGTTGAAGTTGGTTGGAAATATCAAAAATATTTGATAATTTCGTAAGTTGGGCCAACTGTTGGTGCGTATGAGGGCAAGTTGTACCAACTTCAGTGTTTTCTTCATTTATGTCTTGACTTTGGTGAAGCAGCACATACATAAGATGAGCGCTGAGCGCAACAAGAGAAACGAAAACAAAACATAATCACAAAACAAAACGAGGAAAAAACTAAAATAAAAAATAAATAAAAATGAGTAATCGCGAAGAGGAAGCGTCAATGCGCGATTTTATAGAGGAATATAAAAAAATGCCTGAACTGTGGAATACCAAACGGGAAATATATAAAAATAAAAATATAAAAAAAAAGAAGCTATGAAAAGTTATTAATTGAGTATAAAAAAATTAAAAACAACGCAACAGTAGACGACGTTAAAAAAAATTGGAAACATGCGTACTTGCTATCGGCAAGAACTCAAGACGTACATTCAGAGTGATCGATCTGATGCGGGTGCAGACGACCTTTATGTACCAAAGCTGTGGTACTTCGAGTTGTTCAGCTTTTTGCGGGATTTGGAAATACCTTTGTCAGGTCGCTCGAATTTTAGTTCCGAGGAGGATGAGGAACCCACATGCAATTCAAATAAAAAAGTAAGTTAAGTTATGTTTTAGGTTAATGTTATGTTAACTCTTTTTTATTCTGATTTCAGCACCAACAAAACAAATATACACCAAAGAAGAGTTGTGCAGTTGACTTAAGGACTGCATTTTTAAAAAAGGCTTCAGAACATTTACACCTTTCAGTTAACAAGTAAGTCCAGGACACTACATCCATTTATGCCAGTGGATGGGCTTGCATGATAAGGGAGATGAAACCAGATCAGCAACTATTTGCAAAGCAGGCAATAAATGAAATAGTGTTGTTAGGGCACTTGGAGAAATTGTCACTGAACTATTTACAAAATCTTTCGGAACCTTCGACTGAATATTGTGCAAGTGTAGACTCTCCAGACCAAACAGCAGTCCAGTTCATACCTCGTCCATCATCCACTAATTCAAGGCAAACAGGCCAATTTACCCCACAAGTTGCAGTCCCATTCATAAGTCCTGCATTATCTACAGATTCAGGTCAATTTAGCCCACAAGCAGGGTACAGTTGTATATATGAACTATTAAGTGATACTCAATTTGAGTAATTTTTGTGTTTTTTGAAGCGCTCTTTGGTCAGTTTTTATTTATATTTTATTGAATTTTGAACTGCCTTATTTTATTTTTTAATTAATTTTAAACTGCTTTATATTCGTTTGGTCTCATTTTATTGAACTTTAACTTCAATATAAGTATTAAATATGTATACTATAGATTGAATTCAAAGAATTTTTATATTTTATATTGAAAAGAAAATATAGCATATTTTATACATGCAATGCATTACAATTTTTAAAAAATTACAAATGTTTTATTGTAGAGATTTAAGCTGTTTTATTGCTTCGCAAAATCTTATTCTGGTTGCCTTTGCTTCAGTGGGAGCATTTCTGTTTGTAGTTGGTTCTAATGTCAACAGCTCTGTGAAGCTTTCAAATTCCGCAGGAAACGTATTTGACTTTGAACCTTGCCGCAAATAATTGTGCAAATAGCAGCATGTGAGAACAATTGTTGTAGCCTTTTCTGGACAGACATTTATAGTTGTTAATAAAACACGAAAACGGGTAGCTAAAATTCCAAAACTATTTTCAACTTTGACTCGTGCAGAGCTGAGAGTTTTGTTGAAAATAATTTCTTCGTTTGTCAAACTGTTATGTCCAAAAGGCTTCATAATATTCACTCGCAACGCAAATGCAGCATCAGACACGATCACATACGGTAGTGGTTCTTGGCCAGGAATAACATGTCGTGGGCTAGGCAAATTCAATTCATCACTTTCGAGTTTTCTGAAGAACTTTGTATTGGAGAAAACACCACCATCAGCTACTCGACCATTCGCTCCCACATCAACCATAAGAAAGTTGCTATTACTATCAACTAATGCCATCAATACAATACTAAACGTTTTTTTTATAGTTGAAGTAGAACGATCCAGAATGTTGTGGCCTTGTGATATTGATGTGCTTGCCATCGAGTGCTCCAATACAGTTGGGAAACAACGATTTTTCAAAAAACTTTTGTGCTATACTCTCCCATTCTTCTGGAGTTTTGGAAACCTATAAGTAAATCATTTAAGTGACACTCACAATGTATACTATGTTCAATTGTCTTACCTTAGTAAAATATTTCAGAACTTTTATAATCGCTTCGCATGTTTCAAAAACAATAGAGCTTATGGATTGTGGAGACACTGCGTAGGAGAACTTCATGTCTTCGAAAGAATTACCGGTGGCCAAAAATCGCAATATGATTGCCAAACGATTTTCCACACTAATGGCCTCCCTCATAATGGTGTCTTTCTATTCAATATGAACTTTTACTTTCGATAAAAGATCATTGAATGTTTGGTCTGACATTCGCATATAATTTTTATATTCTTTTGCCTCACTTTCTCTCAATGTTTTTAAAAGTTTTTTGTTCGAAAATTTATTTCTGTTTATGAACCACTGCTTTGACCACATTTTTTTCTTCATCTTTTTCTTTCTCTGCAGTTGTCTTTCTTCTTCTTCCTCTAAAATTATATCAATTCCAAGAAGCGCAAGAGCATCCGAGTTCATGTTGACGCTTCAAAAATACTTTGTAAATGAAAAGTTGGTACAACAGTTGTATGAAAAGTTGGTACGTGCGAGGAGACCGACCAACTTTTTCATACAACTTAAAAGTGACAAGTTGGGCCAACTGTTGGTGTGTCTGAGGGCAGGTTAACAGCGTGATTTGGAGAGAGGTACGAGACATTAAAAATAATTACAAAAACCTGTACTTGGAATTTTGTGATTTCATTCTCGTTGAGAGTAATACATAACGGTTGTTTTCCAGAACCTACAAATTAGTACTAATTCTGATACAACGCTTTCCCGTACTCCAAAAACTAGCAAAACATGCAGCTCTCTCGAGAAAAAATGGCCCTGAGTGGTGCACAATTTCTGCTTGTTTTAGCTACATGAATTTGGCCGAGCAGAAATGTGCAAATTTGACATTTAATTGGCAGGGCTAACAAGTTTGAAAAATGTATTGATACATTTCAATGTTCGCGCGTGTCAACAAATGTAAAGAAAAAAGATAAACTTAAAAATTAAAGAAAAAATAATATTTGTCGTGCAATAAAACAAAAAGAGAAAATATGGAACAACTAATGTATTCACTTTTTGATGATTCCAGGAGTGAAGAGGACTGGCTGAATGAGGAATCAGATCGAGAAAACGTATTGGAAAACAGTGCAAAATTAGTGAAAGGTAAATTGAATAATTAAGCTTAAAATCAAAGATGTCTGCTTATTACTGCGAGCATTTTCTTTTTATTTTTTAGGTTGGCTGTCTTCCCAACTTGTGGCATTAAGTCTTCTACCAGACTTAACATTAATTTAACCGGCGCCTCCAACCATGTCAGATTCTCCGGGGTTGGGATTTGAGAAAACTCCACCTCTAAATACTCTTCAACGCATTCTGAAAACAAAACTTTCTAAATAAGCAGCATTCGAAAATAATTATTAATTTTATTTAATTTTCAATACTCATTTTTTTAAATTTTGGCGTCCATTTCAGTAAGATTTCATCAGTCCGATTTAGGCTGTTTCCATTTGGAATTTTGAATGTTGAAATGTTACCGCATTTCTGCTAATTATTTTTTGAGCACACCTAAATGAGAATGGCATTTCGTACTGTTCTCTCTTCTGCTAGTTTTACTACTAAAAAAGTACTGGAACACAACTAATATCTAAAATACATAAAGTTCACCCCGCAATGCAGAAATGTGTGGGGAATATTGCAATAACCGAACACAGAATTGTCCAGATTATTTTATTAACAAATACATATTGTAAACCGGGATCAATAATTAAAAGACGCAAAGTCTTTACCATTTGAGCGTTTGTAAGACACTAAATTTATTTATTAAAAATATTTCTTAAGACATACTTATGTTAATATGACTGAACCCAAATCATCATTAAGTGTAAATGAGAGAGAGAGAGACAGATAAATACCAACTGTACACATGCCTATGCACCACGCATAGCTATCTCACATGTGGCAAGCAAACATGGTGCGCTTGCTTATCAGTCTGAGTAAATATTACATCCCATAATCTAACTCCACCATAACACATGCAGCAATTGAAAATTCTGTATTAGTTATTTCTAACTCGCAGGTCTGCTCACCACATTTTCTCATCTTATTTAATGTGGACTGTATTAAGAAGATCCCTGTTTAACAAATCCCCCTCATCTACACTAGGTAGCCCCGCTATTCTCTTTTATTATAAAAACATGTTCACTTATCCGTGAACATTCTTGGCAGGGGCAAAAATAAATATAAAGTATAACAAGTAAAAAAGCTGTAAGTTCGGCCGGGCCGAACTTTGAATACCCTCCACCATTTGGTACAAATTTAACAATTTTCATGAAAATAAAATCCGTTAAAAATTCTGTTAAAATCTTTAAAATATCTAATGTAGACGTATATTAAAGTCTATACGACGACGTGGACCTACATAGGCAACTTTTGTCACAAGCTATTACAATATTCAAATGCGAAACTTGAAAAAAATCTGTTTATAATGTATCTAAAATCATCAAAATACCGAATATGGGGATATACCTTGGTGGCTATAAAACGTGAATCTGCACAGACAATTTTCTGTCATAGGCTGTAATATCCATTACGAACTTCAAATGCGAAATTTGAAATAATTCCGATAAATAATTTCGCTAAAATCATCAAAATACCGAATATCGGGAGGTACCGTTATATGGAGGCTATACGAAGACGTGGACCTGCACAGACAATTTTCTGTCATAGGCTATAGTATTCATTACGAACTTCAAATGCCAAATTTGAAATAGTTCCGTTATATGGGGGCTATACGAAGGCGTGGACCTGCACAGAAAATTTTCTGACATAGGTTGTAGCATCCATTACGAACTTCAAATACAAAATTTGAAACAATTCCGGTAAATAATGTCGCTAAAATCATCAAAATACCGAATATCGGGAGGTACCAATATATGGGGGCTATACGAAGACGTGGACCCGCACAGACAATTTTCTGTCATAGGCTATAGTATTCATTTCGAACTTCAAATGCCAGATTTGAAATAGTTCCGGTATATAATGTCGCTAAAATCATAAAAATACCGAATATCGGTAGGTACCGTTATATGGGGGCTATACGAAGACATGGACCTGCACAGACAATTTTCTGTCTTAGGGTGTAGATGGATACTACACCCTAAGACAGACACTTCAGACACTAAGACAGAAACTTCAAATACCAAATTTGAAACAATTCCGGTGAATAATGTCGCTAAAATCATCAAAATACCGAATATCGGGAGGACCCGTTGTATGGGGGCTATATGATAACTTGGACCTACATGGTCCATTTACGAACTTAACCTGCCTACTGGCAAAATATACATGTGTGCAATATTTTAGCCTTCTATCTCAATTTGTTTGAAACATAGCATTATTACAACAGACAGACAGACAGACCGAAGGACATGGCTAAATCGTCTTAGAATTTTACGCTGATCAAGAAAATATATACTTTGTTGGGTCTGACATGAGTATTTCGAGGAGTTACAAACGGTATAAAAACCAAAAAGATTGGCCTCAAGCTCAAACAATTGCTTTTTTATTTCCTTTTAAAAAATGGTAAAAAATATAAGAAGTTAAAAAGCAGTAAATTTGGCCGGGCCGAACTTTGAACGAATTTAAAAATTTTCAAAAACTAAAATTCTTAAAAAATTCTTTGAAAATTGTAAAAATACCAAATATAGCCGTCTATTGGTGTTTATACAACGTGGACCTACAGAGACATTGTTTGTCATCACCCATTACCATATTCAAACTCGAAACTTGAAATAAACTGTGAATAATGTAGATAAAATCGTCAAAATATCGCATAAAGGGAGGTACCGTTATATCGGAGCTGTGCGAAGACCTGCACCTGCATAGACAATTACCTGTCACAGGCTGTAGCATTCATTACGAACTTCAAATTCCACATCTCAAACAATTTCGATAGGTATTGTACCTAAAATCGTCAAAATACCGAATATAGGGAGGTACTGATATATGGGGCCTATACGAAGACCTGCATAGACAATTTTCTGTATTATAATGTAGTATCTATTACAAATTTCAAATACCAAATTTGAAACAATTCCGGTAAAAAATGTCGCTAAAATCATCAAAATATCGAATATCGGGAGGTACCGTTATATGAGGGCTGTACGAAGACGTGGACCTACATGGCCCATTTTCTTGTCTTAAGAAGTAGCATCTATTACGAACTTTAAGTATCAATTTTGAAACAATTCCGGTAAAAAATGTCGCTAGAATAAAAAATACCGCATATCGGGAGGTACCATTATATGGGGGCAATACGAAGACATAAACCTACATGCCCCATTTTCAATACCAAAAGTCCTGCAGATATAGTACACATTTGAGTAACATTTTATCAACCTACTTCATTTCGTTGGAAAGCCATAGTGATTTCCACAGACGGACGGGCATTGATAAATCGACATAGAATTTTATGCTGATCAAGAATATATATACTTCGTGTTGTCTAAAATGTATATTTCGAGGTGTTACAAACGGTATGACAAACTTAATACACCCTCCATATTATGGTGGAGGGTTAAAAACGTATAGTGGGTGAGGCCGTTATATGGGGGCCATACCAAAACGGGAACCTCTATAGACACTTTTATACTTTAAGGATTGTCATCTACCAAATCATCTTAAATACCAACATTGAAACGATTTCATGGGTAAATGTGACTACGATTATCAAAATACCGAATATCGGCGAGTACCGTTTTATGTGCGCTACAAAAAAAGCGGACCTAAATATTCAGTGTTTTGCCAAATACCAATTTTTAGACAAATCCGTGGGAAAATGTGGCAAAACTCATAAAAATACTCTTCGCAGGTATCATTATGCGGGGCGGGGGCGGGTGCGGGTGCTATACATATTATGTTATGCCACAAGAGCTAGAATCTATTACAAACTACATATACCAATTTTGGGACAAATTCGTAGAAAAATGTGGCAAAAATCATCAAAATACCGAATATCGGGAGTTACTGCTATATGAGGGTTATACAAAAACGTGGACCTATGCATATAGTACTTCGCCACCGGAGTTTGAACCCATTCCAAACTGCAAATGCATACAGTGTTAGAACCCATTACGAACAGTGTTAGAACAGGAACACAGAGAACTGACTAAAGAACTCAACCTAAAGTAGAACGATGGTTGGTTTGTCAAGAAAACTTTCCCAGATGATATAAAATGGTTACTCTCCTTAGGAGACAAACACTGCTTACCAACAACAAGAGCATATTTCCCTTTATTCAAATACATTGCGGACGCGGAAGATCTCGTACAATCAAACAGTGACAAAGAACAACAAGAAATGGGAAGAACAAAACTAACAAATATGCTGGAAATACATATGAATAGAATCAAAGAGAGTAATAGGGACAAATACATGATAAGCACAGTAGAACGAACCCGAAAATTTCTAAACCAAAATAAGGATATACTGATACTAAATGCAGACAGAGGCAACGTGAGTGTAGCTATGAATAAAAATGATTACCAGGAAAGAATGACCAATTTACTCTCAGACATGATGACGTATCAACGTATCAATAAGGATACAACGTAAAACCTTCAAAAGAAAAATAATGATATTGTTGAAGAATGTTTAAAGACTCAAAACAGACGGCAAAGTCAACTTACAACGTAAGGGATTTTGTGCAATTTAAGGATAAGATAAAGAACTTGACAATTAATAATAATGAAAAAATGGTTTCTTTGGACGTGGTCTCACTGTTCCCAAGTTTTTCGGTAGAATTAGGACTAAATATAATGGAAGAACGATGGAGAGAAATTAAACAATATACAAACATAACGAAAGACATGTTTCTGAATATAGTCAAGTTTGAAGACAAAATATACAAACAAAAGCAGGGCTACCGATGGGATCTCCAGCATCACCCATAATTACAGACTTGGTTATGGAATCATTACTTAACAAAAGCATGCAATCATTACAATCAATACCAAAGTTACTGACGAAATACTTGGGTGACTTGTTTTTAATTATAAGTGAAGGTGCAATACAAGAAACGTCGACAATACTAAAAAGTTTTAATAAAAACATTTATTTTGGAAGAAGAATGCGATGGAAAAATCCCATATTTATACAAATTAGTAATACGAAATGCAAATAGCAACATTGATATTATTTGGTATCAAAAGCCTACAACTTCGGGTAGAATAATCAGTTTCTACTCTAAACACACAGAACGGACAATTATCAATACAGCGAAAAACTTAATAAAGACAGTACTAACAATAAGCGACGAAAAATGTCATATCCAGAACAAACTAAAAATAAAGGACATTCTAATTAATAATAACTTTTCATTACACATAACCAAATCCCTAATTGAAAATTATTATAATAGCAAACACTCGCAGAAAACAGATCCGCCGAGGATATACAAATCCCTGACATAATTACCAAATATACGGAACATCACTACAACAAGAGACTAACGATTGAGATGATCCACATCAATAGTTTATCAACAACGAAAAGAGTAAACAGCAAAGCAGACACGGACAACACAGCCTACTGCTACAAGCATTTAACAAAAGGAGTTCGTGTAATAAGCAAATAATTATCAGTGCAATAATAACACTTGACGGTAGCAGTCACATTACGCTAGATTTAAGTTTATTATTCTAATTATTTGCAAGTAAGCTATTGTATTTTTACGTGTTTATGTCCTAACATGCTGTGATAATGTTAATATGTTGTATTTTTGTAATTTAGTTTGTAGATCACCATGATGATGAAACTCAAAGATTTTCGAAATATTGGATAAATAAATAATTAAAAACCAAAGAGATTGACCTCAAGCTCAAACAATTGTTTTTTTATTTTCTTTAAAAAAATGGTAAGAGATAAAAAACGAAAAATGTTGGCAACTCTTTTATACAAGAATATAAGTTACAAAGAAGAGAATGTAAAACTAAACAATTTGAAAATTGATAATTAGTTTAAACACAAACACGCTTTAAATACACTACACCAATTATCACTATGAATTGCAAAATTAATATTAAGCACTTTTAATAACAGATATAATTAATATTGTTTTTCAAAATCACGAAACAACACAATTTTTGACACCAATCACAAATTGTAGTTATAATTCATGGTAGAAGAATAAAGGTAGTCGTAGTAATCGACACAGCTGCTGGGACAATGGACTGTCAAAACTATTTTGAAATCGAAATTTTTTAAATTGGTAAATATTTTAAAAAATGCATATCATAACAACCTCCAATTGGCGCCATATAGGAAAACGTATATAAATCTACATATTTTTGAAAAAAAAAAAAACAAGTGAAAAAGCTGTAAGTTCGGCCGGACCGAACTTTGAATACTCTCCAGCATTTGGTACAAATTTAACAATTTTCAAAAAAATAAATCCTTTAAAAATTCTGTTAAAATCTTGAAAATACCTAATGTAGCCGTATTTTAGAGTCTATACGAAGGCGTGAACCTGCACAGAAAATTTTCTGTCATAGGCTGTAGCATCCATTACGGACTTCAAATACAAAATTTGAAACAATTCCGGTAAATAATGTCGCTTAAATCATCATAATACCGAATATCGGGAGGTACCAATATATGGGGGCTATACGAAGACGTGGACCCGCACAGACAATTTTCTGTCATAGGCTATATTCATTTCGAACTTCAAATGCCAGATTTGAAATAGTTCCGGTATATAATGTCGCTAAAATCATAAAAATACCGAATATCGGTAGGTACCGTTATATGGGGGCTATACGAAGACATGGACCTGCACAGACAATTTTCTGTCTTAGGGTGTAGATGGATACTACACCCTAAGACAGACACTTCAGACACTAAGACAGAAACTTCAAATACCAAATTTGAAACAATTCCGGTGAATAATGTCGCTAAAATCATCAAAATACCGAATATCGGGAGGACCCGTTGTATGGGGGCTATATGATTACTTGGACCTACATGGTCCATTTATGAACTTAACCTGCCTACTGGCAAAATATACATGTGTGCAATATTTTAGCCTTCTATCTCAATTTGTTTGAAACATAGCATTATTACAACAGACAGACAGACAGACCGAAGGACATGGCTAAATCGTCTTAGAATTTTACGCTGATCAAGAAAATATATACTTTGTTGGGTCTGACATGAGTATTTCGAGGAGTTACAAACGGTATAAAAACCAAAAAGATTGGCCTCAAGCTCAAACAATTGCTTTTTTATTTCCTTTTAAAAAATGGTAAAAAATATAACAAGTTAAAAAGCAGTAAATTTGGCCGGGCCGAACTTTGAACGAATTTAAAAATTTTCAAAAACTAAAATTCTTAAAAAATTCTTTGAAAATTGTAAAAATACCAAATATAGCCGTCTATTGGTGTTTATACAACGTGGACCTACAGAGACATTGTTTGTCATCACCCATTACCATATTCAAACTCGAAACTTGAAATAAACTGTGAATAATGTAGATAAAATCGTCAAAATATCGCATAAAGGGAGGTACCGTTA